CTTATCCTTCCCCCCAGCAGCAGCAGCAGCAGCAGCAGCTGCTGCTGCTGCTGCTGCTGCAGCTGTTGCTGCAGTGACCCCCAAAGTCCCCCAAAGGGGCCCCTCTCTTATAAAAGGTCCCCCGGCAATCTTTCGCGGGCCCCCTTATATTGTGGGGGCCCCCCTTATGTTATGGGGGCCCCCCTTATATATATATAGTGGGGGCCCCCACAACCCCCGGGGGGCCCACCTTATACTGTGGGGTCCCCCATAAGGACCCGGGGGCCCCCTAGCAGGGGGCCCCCACAGCCCCCGAGGGGCCCCCCTTATACTGTGGGGGCCCCCACAAGGACCCGGGGGCCCCCTCGTGAATGTTTTGAATGGTTGCTGTCTTCGTCTTTAGTGGGGGCCCCTGTTGATTTAGAGGGGGCCCCCTAATGAGGGGGTAATGAAACCTCTAGAGAGTGTGGGGGCCCCTTTACATTATTATTTTAAATTATTTATGTACAACAATATCAAATTCAAGGTTGTAGATGCCGACGCTTTCATTTGCTGCCTGCGAGGTGTACACAAGCAGCAACAGCAGCAGCAGCATCAGCAGCATCAGCAGCAGCAGGAAGTGCTGCGACTGCATGCATGCGATTCTTTTAAGGGCTTGTTAGGCCTTCTCATGGGGGCGTCTGTGGGTTTGACAAGGGTGAATGATGTAATATTTTTTTCGTGCTGCTGCTACTGCTCTTGCTGCTACTCCTGCTGCTGCTGCCATTACTGCTGCTGTTACTGCTACTGCTGCTGCTACTGCTGCTGGTGCTAGTGCTGTGGCGTTACTGTTTGTGCTGCTGCCGTTGGTGTTGCAGCAGCAGCAGCTGCTGCTATGATTGTTGCAGCAGCAACAGCTGCTACGTGGATATTTCTGAGTATTGTTTGTGCAGATTGGTTGTAAATATATTATTTATATTTAAATTAATTTTACCTCGTCAAAGTCTCTGCCCAATCTTCACAGATATCTACATCTTTAAACATGCTTTTCTTGCTCTTCACTGTACACCCCGCAGTCGGCAGCCATTTGCTTATCTCTAAGCTGCACGTACACCCCAACGCATGCAAGCAAACACCAGAAAGCAAAATAATATAATAAACAGCATCAAGCAATAAACAAAAATATCAATATACATCTATATACAACGCCACAGATACAGAGGGCACCGTTGCTGCTAATGCTGCTGCTGCTCGCGCTGCTGCTGCTGCTGCTGCTGCTAGGAGTTGGGCTGCTGCTGCCTGCTATTGGTCCTGGTGCTGTTTCTGCTACCCTTGTTGCTGCTGTTGCTACTGCTGCTGCTGCTATTGCTGCTGTTTCTATTGCTGTTCCTGCTACTGCTGCTATTGCTGCTGGTGCTGCTATTGCTGCTGATGCTGCTAATGCTGCTCTTGCTATTGCTGGTGCTACACTTGATGCTGCTGCTACTGCTGCTGCTGCTGCTGCTGCTGGTGCTGCTGCTGCTGCATGAAGAAGCACACCCTCTGCATTCGAAGCATACGATGGGGACGAAGTTGCCGCTGTCTGCTGCAGTGTATGGCCTTGTCACGCCTTTAAGCTGCAGCAGAAGCAGCAAAAGAGCAGCAAGAGGCTCCAGCAGCAGCAACAGCCGCAGCAAGCAGCAGCAGCAGCAACAGCAGCGGCTTGCAACACCAGCGACAGGCAGAACCGCGAGCAGCAACAGACTGCGCTAAACCCCAGCAGCAGCAGCAGCAGAAAGGAGCTTCTCACAGCAGCAGCAACAGCAGCAGGAGCAACAGCACCAACAGCAGCAGCAGCAGCAGCAGCAGGCGGCTTGCTGCTTACTTGTTCGACGTTAATTGTTGCAGCTTGTTTGCTGCCATCAAACCGCAGCACTAAATTCGCAGTGCTGCAAACCCACAACAAAAACAAAGAGGGGGCCCCCAACTGAGCCCTCTTCTCTACAGCTATAGGGGCCCCCCTCAACATTCAGGGGGCCCCTTCAAGCAGTTTCACACTCAAGGGTTTAGGATTTAGGGTTTAGGGTTTAGGGTTTTGTAAGGGGTGCAAGAGGAGCTAAAGGGGACCCCTCTATAAAAAGAACTAAGAGGGGCCCCCGCATAGAAATGAATTAGTTGTTGAGGGTTTAGGGTTAAACCTAAAACCCTAAACCCTAAACCCTAAACCCTAAACCCTAGAGTGTAGGGGCCCCCTTACCCTCTGCTGTTGGGTATATCGACTGTCTCTGCTGCAGACAAAGTTATGCCTTTTCTTTCTTCTGTCCCTCCAGCCTGTACTACTGAAAATAAAAACAAAGACAAGCAGTTAAAAGAAAAAATTAAAACAAATATAAATAAATAAAATACTTTTGTTTATTTATACTTCTTTTAACAATAAAAATCAAGAAAAAAGAAAAGAATTAAAAAGAATAAAAATAAAAAAATTAAAAATAAAATCAAACGAAGTAAAAAAGAACAGAGAAGAGGAGTAAAAATGAAAATAAATAAAAGCAGATGGAGAGACAGACAGATATATAGATAGACCTATATATATACATCTATATATAATATATACATATAATATATATAATATATATAATATATAATATATATAATGTATATATATATATATATATAAGGCGATACACAAATATTATTAGGAGGGCGCAGTCATAAACAGCAAATAACAACAAAACAAAGCAAAATAAACAAAAATTACTGATGCTGCTACTACTACTCTTGATGCTGCTACTGCTGCTGCTGCTGCCGTTGCAATTGCTGCTGCTGCCGCTGCGACTGCGACTACGGCTGCTGCTGCTGCTTTCGCTTCTCCTTTTGCTATTCCCTTTGCTGCTGCTGTTTCTGCTGCTGCTGTTGCCGTTATTGCTGCTGCTGCTGCTGCTGCTGCTGCTTATTCACGTGGCCTTACCGTCTACATTCCAGGTGTAATCCTCTGGGAATTCAATCAATTCGACATTTTCAAGCTCCGCTCGCATGCGCAGCAGCAGCCGAACCATTTTGTTTTTAATGAATAAAAAAGAGAAAATAAAAAAGAGATATTATTTAAATTGTTTAAGAGAGAAATAAACAAGTAAAGATACTCTCTGCAGACAGGAGGAGAAATGCAGAAAAGAAGAAAAACAAGAAGTTTACAATAAACGCTCTCAATAGATATGAAAGGCAGAACCAATTCTTATTCCTCTTGCTGCTGCTGTTGCTGCTGCTGCTGCTGCTGCTGTTCTTGTTTCTGCTGCGCTTGTTATTGGTGTGGCTGCTGCTGTTATTGTTGTTGTTTCTGCTATTGTTGGTGCTGTTGTTGTTGCTGCTGCTGGTGTTGCTGTTGGTGTTGCTGCTGTTATTCTTTCTCTTTATATTTGCGTGTGTGAGGCCTTTAGATATAATTCTTTTGTTTAAATTGTAGATAAATAGAAGAGAAAAAAGACAAAGAAAATTTCTCTTGAGCAGCCGGCACCGTTAGAGTCTGTTGTTGTCTGTATGCATGCATGCATGCAAGCGGATGCATTTAGATTGAATAAAAACGAAAGAATAATATTAATAACAATTTAAATTGTTTTTTCTTTTTCTATTTAAAACTCTTTTTGCTTTTTATTCAACTTTTTTCTTCATCTTCTTAGCATATCTGTATCCCGTTGTAGAGGGGCTGGCAGCCGCCGCTGCGTTTTCTCTGCGTACAGCAGAGCGAAGCAGCAGCAAAAAATTCTAAAAACAAATTTAAAATTAAATATTTATTGAGTTTATATTCTTCCTTTTACTTTTCTTCTCTTCTTTCTTCATATTTTGTCGCTCGGGGAGGCGGCAGCAGTCTACCGACGCAGCGAGTTGGGTCTATGCATTCAAGTTCATGTTGAGGGTTTAGGGTTTAGGGTTTAGGGTTTATTGTTATTATATCATCAGCTTCTCTCCATACGAGTCCTAGGCTTTACTTTATAATCTTATTCTTTCTCCCTGCAGCACAACACCCTTCTGCAGCAGCAGCCCTAAGCAAACTTCTTCCTCCTCCTACTGTACTGGCGTTCTATTTGCTGCTGCAGCCGCACTTGCTGCTGCTGTTGCTGCAATTGCTGCCTCCCTTTTTGCTGCTTCTTACTTGCTTGCTCCGCCATGGGTGAAGACGTGGAAGAGAGCTCTTCTCTATCTTCTTCTTTTGAACTTCGCTTCAGAAATTACGTTCCTAAGGACCGCAAACTTCGTCAGTTTTGTTTGCCGAGGCCTTCAATCGATGAACTTGAAAAACAAATTGCATTGGAAGCAGAAAGCGCTGTACAGGCAGCAAAAGATGAAGTGAGAGCAAACACAAACAAAACAAATACAGCCCATCGCTTCCTGCTGATACTGATGCAGCACCAGATGCAGTAACTGCAGCAGATGCATGTGCTGCTGCTGCTGATGCAGCAGCAGCAGAGTGTTGCATCAGCTCAGGCCGCAATAGGGGAACAGCAGCACAAACAGGAGGAGCAGCAACGCTAGGAGCGCTTGCTGCAGTAACAGCAGCAGTAGAAGCAGCACTGGCGGCAGCAAGAGCAGCAGCAGCAGTAGCAGCGCTAACAGCAGTAGCAGTAGTAGTGAAGGCAGCAGCACTCAGTGCAGCAGCGTTGACAGCAGCAGCAATGACGGCAGCAGCAGCAGCAGGGTCTGAAGTAGGAGGTTCATCCGTCTTCTTTTGTTGTGCTGTTCAATTTGCTGTCGTCTTCAGTGGAAATTTTTGCTGGTTTGTTTATTTTTATTTATTTATTTTCTTATTGTTTGCATGCAAAGTCATGTGCCTGTTTACTTTGCACTGTTTTGAGGTTCTCCGCTTTTCTTACATTTCCTTCTCTCATTTCTCGCATTTCTTTTCCCTTCCTTTTCTTTTATAGCTTTTTATTGTTTTAATTCTTTTTTGTTTTCTTCCTCTGGTTTTGATTGTTCAGGATATTCTCTCTCAAGTAGTGCCGCGTCGACCCAACTGGGACCTGAAGAGAGATGTAGAGAGAAAGATAGCTATTTTATCTCGGCGTACCGACAAGGCTATAATCCAATTGATAAGGGAGAAGATAGAGCAGAATAAAAGGACGAAAGAGCTGACGAATGAAGAGCAGAAAGCCGATGAGAATGATGCAGAAGATGAAGTAGAACACCGCTCCAGAGAGCAAGTGGAAATAGGGCAAACAGTGTTGAACGGAATGAATGAATTCGATAAAATTGAAGAAGACGATGATGCTGACTTATAAATTAAATGATATAATCTGTTGTTTCCTCTTTTTTCGCTCTATTCAGAGCCCCAGTGTTCGGGTGTATATGCACCTCCCCCATTCAAATTCAAGAAACCGACTTGGTGTCGGCTCCTTTTTTTTTCTCTAGCAACTCCAAACCATCTTTGTTTTCATCTTTATTTCCTTTTATTTATGTGTATTCATTTCCTCTCCATATATAAAGCCAGAAATGGCATTAAAAAGATTATTCTTTCTTCGTCTGTTTCTGTGGAGCGCACATCTCTTACGTTCAAGTTGGGCACAGGAGGCTGGTTACGACAGGAAAACCCTTAAGGTTTGAGCAGATAGTTTTTGATTTTGTTTTTATTAATTGTATTTATTTCTAAAAATGCTTCAGAGCCTCACAGAATTTCGCCAACTTCACAGGAAAACAGTCGATGGCCGCCTCTGTGCTGCCGCCTTCGTTCAAGATGGGCGAACTTACACTGACTGTACAACTGCGAGAAATCCTGAAGGCCTTACAGGTTTGTAGAAGCTAAACATCAGTATACCTCTAAAACTACGTGAAAATAGATGCATTTGGGGCGTCTCAGTTAGCCATGGGTATGTGTGCGGGTGCGTAGGGTTTAGGATTTAGGGTTTAGGGTTTAGGATAAGAAAATACGTAGAGAAACAATTTAAATGCAAATGATTATTTATAAGGGCTTTGAAACAGGCAGAGAGTGGTGCTACGTAGAAGTTCAGTTGTTAGGAAAAGGAGCGAGAGACTGGGACCACTGCCAAGGTAAATACGAAGTGTATTTGTTTATTTATTTCTTCTTTTTCTTCCTTCAACAGCTGCTAATCTCATTTTAATTTGCTAATGCAACAAACGCTGCAGAAGTCGTCAACTATGAAGCCGTCCGCGTCGCTTTCCGGTAATTGCTGTGTCTATTAAACAAACCAAATAATCAACAGCAAACAAAACAAAAGAAATAAATAAACAAAAGAATGAAATAAATAAAGAACAGCAAACAAAACGAGGAAAATCAATAAGCATCAGCAGACAAAACAGAAGTACATAAACAGAAGACAAAAGAAACGATATAAATAAACAACAGGAAGCAAAACAAAAAATAAATAAACAACAACCAACAACACACAGGATATCAATAAACAGAAACAAAAAGAAACAGCAGCAAAGAAAGCAAAAGAAGTAAACAAACAAAAGTAGAACAAAAGTAATGCATAAACAACAACAACAGCCACAACAGAAAAAAGAAGAAAAAAGCATAAACAACAGCAAAAGAAATAAACAAACAACAGCGTGAATAGAAAAAAGGCAACAGAAATAAAAACAAAAACAAAAGTAAACAGCACAAATATAATTCTTTTTTCTTTTTCAGAGATATCGCGAGGAAACGAATTGCAGAAATGCAGCAAAGGGCCGCCTTCTTTCAAGCCCAAGACCAGTACGCAAAACAAATAAATAAACAAATAAATAAATAAATAAATAAATAAATAAATAAATAAGGAAATGAATGAGTGATTGAATGAACAAAATACATAAATAATTAAGTCGTGAAGTAAAGGACTAAACAAACAGGAAACAATAAATAAGTAAAGACAAGATAAAATAAGTAAACAATTAAATTTTGATTTTTATTAGTTAATGCAAATAAATGCAGACGTCTGCTCTTCATGCTGCAGAAGTACCAACAAGTGCGTCGCTCATCACAGAAGGATTTCATATTTCTTCATTATTCTCTTTCTTCTTTTTTATTCTTCTTTTTCTCTTTCTTTTTCTCTTGCTTTTTCTTTTTCTTTTTCGTCTTCTTCTTCTTCGCCTTCTTGTTTTTTTCCTTTTTTTCTTTCTTTTTTTCCTTTTTCTTCTTCCTTTTCTTTTTCTTTTTCTCTTTTTTTCTTCCTCTTCTGCCTCTTCTGCCTCTTCAGTACATTATAATTACCCCTATTATTATTCCAACTATTATTATTATTATTATTATTATTATTATTATTATTATTATAATTCTTTTTCTTTGGCTTCAGCTCTGTGTTGCTTCTACATCAGCAGCGGAGAGGCAGCAGGAAGTGGAGAAAATTATTTCGGGTTCTTCGCGCGCTTTGCAGGAATTGCGAGCAAATTTTTCGCGTCTGAACGCACTTCACGCAGTAGCAGCGCATGCAAAGAACGAAGTAGAAAGAGATCAAGAAGCAGCAAAACACAATATCTTCAGCTGTAGTGGTAAGTTTAAACACAACAAAAACGGGAAGGGATGTGTTGCTGTGCGTGAAGCAGCAGCAGCAGCAGCAGCAGCAGCAGCAGTAAATATAGACTGCATCTGTTGTTATCTCTTTTTCTTTTCTTTGTTTTGTTCCCTTGGGCTTCATTTGCGTTGCTGTATATCTGTTTTTTATCTCTTGTTTTATTTCTGCTCTATATCTCTTTATTTTTTCTTTTATTTCATTTGTTTTATTTTTACTCTTTCAGCTGTTCGAGGTTATGAAGACGAGGTGCGTGGTGAATAAGAAGAAATAAATATTGCATGCAGACTCATGCATATTTAAACAAAAAAGGTTTTCTTCTTTCTTTCTTCTGCTTCTTCTCTGTCTTTGTCTTATGCTTCATATTCTTTTATTTTCTTCTTCTTTTCTCCCTTTCCTTTGAATGTCTCCTACTCTTCTTCTGCAGCCTTTTGCTCTTTTTCTTTTCATTAAAAAAACTTTTATTTTCTTTTTTTTTCTTCTTTTTCTTCTGGCGCTTCTTCTTTTCTTTTTCTTGTTTTCGTCATTTTATTATATCATCTTCTATATTTCTTCCTTGACATTTTATTTTCTTTATCCTTTTTGTTTGTTTATTTCTTTATTTTTTATCTCAGCCTTCTGCTGACGGCCTACGCGCTACATATTACAGCAACCCTTACTTTGAGGAGCCTGCAGCAGCATACAGCGATATATCTTCTGTTGATCTTCGGGTGGCTAGTCTTTCTCCTCATGCCGATGTTCCTGTGGAGTCTTTCTCAATTCGCTTTGAAGGGTATTTAACCCCTCCTACCACCGATCGCTATCGTCTGTACACCCGAGCAGACTGCGGAGTGCGCGTCTTCATCGATAACTCATCAGTTATTGTAGACCGCATGCAAACACCAGAAGAAGGAGATTCATTCAAAGAAAATCAAACCATACAAACAATACAACCCACGGGCTTCACAGGAGAAGCCAAGATTTACTCCAACACACTAGTGAGACAAAACAGGCATTAAGTTTATATATATATATATATGTATATATATGCGTATATATATATATATATATATATATGAATGTATGCATGTATTGGGTTCAGTAGGTCAATAATAGGTATAAGGTGTTATATAGATTAACCACCTCAGTAGTAGATAAACAAATAAACAAATAAACAAATAAACAAATAAATAAGCAGATAAATATAATATGTCTGCATGCAGGACCTAAAGGCGGGCCATCGTCATCGACTTCGCGTTGAATATTTTCATCTCGCTTCGCACAAATTCAAAGAGCCGACTTCTGTAAGTTTATATTTTTATTTATTTGTATTTCTTTCTTTGCTGCTGGGGAGAGGGACAACAGCTGTTTTATCTCCTTGAATAATAATGCTTTCCTTCTTCTGTAGCTGCTTAATACTTGTGTTTATTTTCATGCATTTTATTTATTTATTTGTATTTGGTATTTTCAATTCTTTTATATTTATTATTTATTGTTTGTTATTTATTATTTATTATTTATTATTTGTTATTTATTACTTATTATTTATTATTTATTGTTTATTATTTGTTATTTATTATTTATTATTTATTATTTGTTATTTATTATTTATTATTTGTTATTTATTATTTGTTATTTGTTATATATTATTTATTATTTTGTTCATTTCTTCATATTTTTTACCTGTCTATCGATGTATTTTTTCACAATTTTTTTATGTGTGTTTGCACGTTCGTTCATATATTGGTTAATAACGTAATTAATTTAATCGGTTATTTAGTTTATTTATTTATTTATTTATAGCCTTTACGCATTAAGTAATGCTGCCTTGATTTATACCTCTGTTGCTCTTGTCTCTGTCCTGCATTCGTGTGTTTGACTTATCTCTGGTAATCTCTTCTTACTTATTTACATATACATTGAAAGATTAGTTAATGAATTGGTTTATTAATTAATTGATGAATGTACTAATTAAACAATTAATTAATACCCCTATTTAATTTATTTATTTACTACTTTATTCTTCTTTCTTTTTTCTTCTTCTAGGGCCGCGTCGTCTTGGGTTGGACGTCCTCCACACTGCCGGAGCAGACGATCCCGCCTCCCTTTTTCTTTCAAAGCAATTCACCGCCTCTCCTCAAAATTGCAGGGCTTCCTGGGGCCTCCTATGACTTGTAAGCGCTGCATGCATGCATGCATGCATGCATGTTTACATTCATGCGTGCACTTATGCTTGCATGCGGCGTTGCATGTATGCAGTGTTGCATGCATGCAGTGATGGTTGCATGCAGTGATGGTTGCATGCAGTGATGGTTGCATGCAGTGATGCATGCATCTGGCGATGTATGCACGGGGTGATATTTGCATGCATGCATGAGGAAGCGGTTAATGGATGTCTGTTTTTGTGTACAGGACTTCGCTAGAGGAGGGAGACCTCGCCTTCATCGACTCTACTCAGCACTTCCTCGCTGATATTCCTGCTTACTACAGGGGACTCAGCCTGCTTCGAACTCATAGGGCCCCCTCCCCGCAGAGTGCAGAAGCAGCAACAACTGCAGCAGCAGCAGCAGCTGCTGCTGCTGCAGGTGCAGCAACCACTGTCCAGTTCGAGGTGTCTGCTGACTGCGTAGTGTTTGTTGCAATTCCTAGGGAAACAAAAAAGACTCCTGCGGCCTCTCACCACCTTGGATATCAGCCCTTAGTATTTGCTTCTATAGACAACACCATCAGCGTATACACCGCAGCTTCCCGCGACGTAAGCAGCACCCAACACCATGAGGTGTACAGACAGCTCGTTGTCTCTCCCACTCACACAGGGTTTATTTTCTTTCTTTTCCTCTTCTCTCTGCTGCATGCACCTCCTTCTTTTCATTCAGGCGAAAGCTACTCAACAAGATCACTACGCCTTATTCGCAGCGAGGGCCCTCCCTGGAATGGTAGCCATCGACGTCCCCCCTGGTAAGCAGCAGCAGCAGCAGCAACAACTACAGCAGCAACAGCAGCAGCAACTGCAGCAGCAGCAATAGAAGCAGCAGTAGTAGTAGTAGCATCATTCGCAGGAGTTTAAATGCGTTGAATTATGTTTTGTTTTGTTTAGGGATATCATTTTTTATTTTCTTTGAACCTGTGAGGGTCTCTGCACATTCATGCGAAGGAAATGCGGAGGCGGTGTCTCTGCCGCGTTCAGCCGCTTATAGCGGCTGTTCTCAGTCTTCTGCTGCTTCTCGTGAGTCTCTTCTACCCTCACATCCGCTCAAACCCAACTTAATAGATGCTATATTACACGCATGCATGCATGCATGCATGCATGCGTGCATGCGATATTTGCTGCTGCAGCACAACGAGACTGCAGCGCGGGGCTTTCGGGTTTGAATAAAGATTTGCCCTTCGCCTCCTGGGAAACTGCAGCAGGGCGATGCGCCAACGAATTGATCGCCGTCTCTTTTAAGGTACCGGTGGAGATTCAGGAAGTGCAGGTAAGGCCTCCTCTCAAACCCTAAACCCTAAACCCTAAACCCTAAACCCTAAGTCTTAAACCCTTCTCGTTGCAGTTCAAGACCCTCGATGACCCCGCCACTTGGCCCACGGAAATTGCTGTGGAGTTTCCAGGTTCGTCTGCTCTACAGCAGCCTTTGCATGCATGCATTCACACCCCACACTTCTTTGCATGCAATCATGCATGCAATTTTGCATAAATCTTTGCATGCATATTTGCATACATCTCTCTGCGCGCAATGATGCATGCATGCATGCTTGCATCATTGCATGCATCTTTACATGTATATTTGCATGCATATTTGAATGCATCATTGCATGCATGTATACTTGCATGCATACATCTATGCATGCATGTTTATTTGAATATGTACTCCCCTCAGGCAGCCAAGAGGTGTATAAATTCGCCGTTCGTGAGGGCGACCACACATATCAATTTCCTGCAAAGGTGGTGCGGGGAGCGCGTCTTCGTATTTTAGGTTTGTGTTTATTTGTTTATTTGTTTGGGGCTGAAGCAAGAAAGAAATATATTAATTAATGCTTATTGCTGCTGCGGTGTACAGCCACAAGGTCAATAGACACCGCTAAAGGCACAGGAGGCTCCGTCGCCTTTATCGGAGTCCCTTGCATGCAAGTAAGAGCAGAAAAAAAGAAGAAAAACAAAGAAAAACAAACAAAGACAAAGACGAAAAAGAAGCAATAAACAATAACAAAACAAACATAAACACAAGCCAACGGCTACCACACTTGTTTATTTATTTGTTATTATCATTATTACTATGCTTTTATTTCTTTCTTTTTTACTGCAGACAAAAGAAAAAGAACAGAAAGAAGACAAAACAGACAACTTAGGAATTATATTTGGAGAGAGATCATCAGGGTTTATCCCTGCGGGTTTTAAACAAGGTAAGAAAAAAAACTTAATTTTATTTTTTATTTGTTTTGTCTTTTCTTCTTCTTGTGTTTGCATGCACATAAGCTAGAGTTTTTATTATATGTTTGTTTTTCGTCTGCTTGCATGCATCTAAGCTAGACATCGCCTTGAAGTTTTTTTTTGTTTATTTTTTCCCTCCATTCTCTGTTTCTGCTGCTGCGTCTGCTGCATGCTTTGTTGTTTTCTTGTTTGCTCTTTCTTCATTAGTTGAGGGTTTTGTGTCTTTGTCTGATTTTATTATTTTTCTTTTTTTATTAAAATACTCCTCGCTGCAGACGACGGCTCGCCTAAAGCACAACGAGGGGCCTTCGTCTTTGGGTGGGAACACCAGGCGCCCCTTGTTCACCCTGAAGATTGCAAAGAAAAACCAGCAGCAGCAGCAGCAGCAGGAACAGCAGCAGGAGCAGCAGCAGCAGCAGCAGCTGCAGCAGCAACTCGGGGGGGAGTTTCGTTTCCTCAGCCAAACTGCACAGAGGCTGATCGATGTTCTCCGCTGGTTGATTGCAACTTTCCCAACTCCTGGTCTATTGATATGCCGTCGTACGCAATCTAAACCCTAAACCCTAAACCCTAAACCCTAAACCCTAATATGCAGGCTGGGGAGGTATTTTGTTACTGTGGAGGTGGGCTCGCCCTGCGGTGGAGTTGTAGCGAGCTTAAAAGTAAACGAAGTGCCGTTCCTCGTCAAGGAGCTGCTGCATGCAGGGCAATACAGCAAAGTACGCTCTAAACCCTAAACCCTAAACCCTAAACCCTAAACCCTAATCTGCAGGTTATGGGGCAAATCACGCTGAGTCAAACCCCCACCATTCGATTGACGGCCGACGCCCCCGTCGCTCTTCAGGCAGTGCTAATTCAAAAAATTATAAAGCAGACCCCGCACACAGACCAGCAGCAGCAACAGCAACAGCAGCAACAGCAGCAAGAACAGCAGCAACAGCAGCAACTTCTCCCCCGTGCGTTCGAGATGTGATCTGGCGGGCCTCTCCGCCTTCGCCTGGAGGCGAAGAGACGGCCTGAGGAGTTGCTGCAGCCTTTGTCCGTAGCTGAACCAGCAGCAGCAGCAACAGCAGCAGCAGCAGCAGCAACTTCTGCTCCGCTTTAGGCGTGCTTACTGTGCGCAACGCGAAGAGACAGCGAACATAACAGAACAAAGACAGACATTTTGCTTCGTTTGTATCGAATTGACGCAGTGGAGGAAGTATATGGAAGGGGGGTTGTTGCTGCTACTGTCTGCTACTTCGCTACTTATGTAGCCTTGCTGCTGCTGCTGCTGCTGCTACTGCTGCTGCTGCTGCTACTGCTGCAGTTTTCGTGAATGTTGATGCTGCTGCAACGCACGGCGCCGGCCAACGCATCGGAGCAGGTAGATGGAGGCCTTACAGGGTCTGTCTAAAGGTATTTTATTTGTATTTTCTGTTGTGATGTGTCTGCACACTTCTGAGCTGTCTGTACACCTGCGAGAGATGCTTCGATGCTTGGGCGAGGGCCCTGCTGCTGCTGATGCTGCTGCTGCAGTCGGCAGCTGGGTATTCAATCGGCAGCAGTGTGCATTTGTGGGTAAAAAATGCAATTTATGAATTATTTTAATTTTATATTTAAATCAACAGAAAATAAAACTAAAAAATATAAATATATTTCAGTGCTGACGACAGACAGCCAATGGTCCTACCACTCGGCCAAGGGCGGGTCGGCGGAGGTTTACAGATTTGTTTGTTGCTGCATTTTTGTCGAGAAAAAGGCTTTAAAAAGGTAATTAAATGCATTTTACACAAACAAAATGAAATAATATAATTTATTTCCTTCATAGCAGTGAAAAACTGTGAACAGCTACGGCCTGACCGCTCGCTGGTGCAGGCGCCGACCGGCGCTCGCTGTACACCCCAAGGGCGGCTGTGAAGGTGGGGGGAAGAAAAGATTAAAAAGGAGATAAAATTAGAACTTTTTAAGAACAATAAATGCATAATTCAAGAATTTTAAAAGAAGACAATCAAAATATACACCCATAACACCTCCTGCCCCATACAAAACCCAGATCGGCGCCGACAAACCGAAGCGTACCTGCTGCTGCTGCTGCTGCTGCAAGAGCTTCAGCAGCAGCAGCACCAGCAGCAGCAGCAGCAGCTTGGCCTCAGCCTGTTCAAGCCATTGTTTGCGTCACCTCTGCTTTTTCTCTGCCCCTCAATTGACGACCGCTGCAATCGCCTACAACCATCCCCTCCTTGCAGGGTTTAGGGTTTAGGGTTTAGGGTTTAGGGTTTAGGGTTGCTATTCCCTCGAGGCCCCAGTGACTCTGCAGGGCCCAGCCCTTCATCGACTTCTTCTCCATCTTCCTTTGCTGCTGTTCATTCGCCTCCCTTTGGCTTCTGACAGCAACCCTAGGGTTTAGGGTTTAGGGTTTAGGGTTTGCGAGGGTTTGGGGTTCGTCCGCCCCATCCCGCTGCTCCTTGGAATGTAGCAGCAGCAGCACCTGATGGTATCGCTGCAGTTTGCTGCTGCTGCTGCGTGTTAGGGTTTAAGGTTTAGTGGAGAAGCTGTTGCGGTGTATGTACACCTCATAGAAGGGAGGTTCTCTTTGCTGCAGCCGCTAGCTGCTGCTGCTGCTGCTTCTTCTGCTGCTGCTGCTCCTTCCCAGCCCTCACTCCTGCAGCAGTCTTCCCTCCCTTCCTATGGGGCCCGCCAGCGAGCCGACGACTTGCAGCAGCACCTCAGCAACAGCAGGCCCTTAGTGCCAGCAGCAACAGCAGCTGCAGCAGCAGCAGCAGCAGCAGCACCAGACATTTTGCTGTCATAATGGAACGGCTGCAGGTCGTAGACCCTGAGGGTCTCCTTTCTTCTTCTCTGTCTCTGGGCCCCCTTCGTTCTGGAGGCAGCAACGGGCATTCAGCAGCAGCAGCAGCAGCAGCAGCAGCAGCTGCTGCTGCTGCTGCTGGCAGTGGTGGTGTGGGGCCCCTCGCTGTGCAGCAAAAACCTTTGGGGGCCCCCGCTTGCTTTGTGCTGCCAGAGGGCTGGGGGTGTTTTAGGGCTCCGCTGTCTCGGCGTGTAAACAGCAACAAAGAGACTCCTGACAAGCTGCAGCAGCAGCAGCAGCAACGACGGCAGCAGCAGCAGCATGCACAGATGCAGCGGCTGCAGCAGCAATTCGCTCTGCTAGTAACAAAGAAAACGAAAGGGGCCCTTCAGGGGAGGCAGCAGCAAATTGCGTCTCAGCCTAAGCTGCAGGAGAGGCAGCTGCAGCAGCAGATGCTGCTGCAGCAGCAGCTCCGAATGCAACAGCACATGCAGCAGCAGCACATGCAGCAACAGCACATGCAGCAGCAGCAGCAGCAGATTCAGCTGCAGGCAGCAAAAGCTAAACAGCTAAAGGAGCAGTTCCTTCATCAGCAGCAGCACTTGCTTCGGAGACAGCAGCAGCAACAGCAGCAACAACAACAACGGATATTGCAGAGGCTGCAGCAGCAGCAGCCGCTGCCCCTGCAACCGCAGCGACAGCAGCAGCAGCAGCAGCAGCAGCCCCAGCACTACGCCCACTTGCATGCGATTCGCATGCAGCAAGCCCCCCAGCGACAGCCAGTGCAGCTACAGCAGCAGCAACAACAACAACAGAAGCCGCTGCTGCAGCAGCAGCAACAGCTGCAGCAGCAACAACAGCTGCAGCAGCAACCACTGCCCCTGCGGCGGAGCCCGCTGCAACCTGCTCTCTATCAGAGCAGCCTGACTTCTGCTGCAGCAGCAGCTGCTGCTGTTGCTGCAGCAGCAGCAAAGGAAGGGACAGGAAGCCAGTGCAACCCCCACATAAACAAAGCCGAGGAAGGAGAGCAGCAGCATCAGCAGCAGCAGCAACAACAGCAGCGGCAGCAGCAGCGGCAGCAGCAGGAGATAGCCGCCGAAATGAAGACTTCAGTGGCAGTCAAGCTGGAGGACTGGCAGCAGCAGCAGCAGCAGCAGCAGCAGCAGCAGCAGGCGGGAGCTGCAAAGCAACTCTCCCCGTCTCCAAGCAGCCGCATTCGCGCCAAAAGCAACAGCAGCAACAGCAGCAGCAACAGCAGCAACAGCAGCAACAGCAGCAGCAACAGCAGGAGCAACAGCTGCAGGGGCGGAGCAATTTGCTGCGGGAGCAGCACTCTCCCTAGCAGCAAGACTCCGCAGCCTTCTGAGAGCAGCAGCAGCACGAGCAGCAGCTGTAGCAGCAGCAGCACGAGCAGCAGCAGCATAGTGGAAGGCCTGACCAGCAGCAGCAGCAGCAGCATAATGGAAAGCCTGACTAGCAGCAGCAGCATCAGCAGCAGCAGCAGCATCATGAAGAGCAGCAGCAGCACGAGCAGCAGCAGCAGCATCAGCCCGATTAGCAGCCCGATAAGCAGCCCGATAAGCAGCCCGTTCAGCAGCAGCAGCAGCAGCAGCAGCAGCAGCAGCAGGAGCGCATCTACTCGTGAAAGGACTTTGATAATAATAGATTATGATGATACGCTGCTGCCAACGAACTGGGTTGCTGTGCAGCACAAGATTTCTTTGAAGGACAGCATCCCGCTGTGGATGCAGCAGCAGCTGCAGCAGCTAGGAGAGCAAATAGCTGCAACTCTAGCTCTATGTGCAGCAGCAGGAAGGGTTTGTTTAATAACAAATGCGAGCAAAGAATGGGTTCTAAGATCAGCAGCAAAGTATATGCCGCTGCTGCAGCAACACCTGCAGCAGCACCACATTACACTCGTATCTGCTAGAGACAAACTGCAGCAGCAAGGGCTGCCTCAACGCCTCTGGAAGCATTATATCTTTGCCGAGGTTGTGCAGCAGATGCTAGACCCTCTCAAGCTGCAGCACAGAGATGAAGATGCAGGGGGGCCCCCAGTAGGGGGGGCCCCCAA